AAAAATGACCATGCTCATGTTGATACTTGTGCATTCGAGTATCTTTTGAATGAATAAAGAAGAAAGGGACTGATACAGAAGGAAATAAATGCTCATGCAGCTGTTCAAGGCAAGTGTGAGAAGGACTTTCACTGTCGTGTCAGCAGAACTATAAACCATCACTAACCAGGGTGCTAATTGGGCAGAAAAAACTAATTTATGAGCAGAATAGAGTCTAAAAATAAATACCAATGTAAATGAGATTGCATTTCACCAACTTGCTGAGGGGATCACTTAATAGTGTTTGCACACATAGCTCCATTTTTATACAATAAAATTTGTAAGAAATTTGAGCTTGAATACAAAAAATCTGACAAATAGTTAAACTCTATAGTATTTAAGAGGTTTTACAAGTTAATAAGGGAAAGATGAACATGTCCAATATAAAAATAGGAAAAACATGTTAAGAATTCACAGAGGACCAAACACAAGTGACATCAAAGAAAAAAAAAGAGTAATAGGTAGAGTAATGGTCTCCCAAAGATGTCTTAACCCTCAGACCCTGTGAAAATATTACCTTAAATATCAAAATAAGTTTTGTAGACATGAGTAAGTCAAGGCTCTGAGGGGTGGAGAGAATCCTGCACCATCAAGGTGGACCCAGCCTAACCCTCCAGCTGAGGAGGGCAGAAGAGACAGTGCTATAGAGTAGCAGAGAGAAGCAGCACTGCGAATTTGTTGTTTTAAGTGCCTAAATTTGTGATACCTTCTTGAAGCAGCCTAGTAAACTAGGGCAGACAAAAAAACTGCTGGTGTTCTGTAATAGTTTGGGGAATGCAAATTAAATTGGCAGTAAGACAGCATTATAAACTGGAGTAAAGAAATACGTTGATGGTGGTGAAGGTGGAGGGTGAAGAATAATATACAAATACAGCTAAAGGGAAGGTGAGAGGCTTGAGCCGTTAGGGGAGGCACCAGGTAAATCAGTTACAGTCAAATGCATGTGCTCTTGGACTGCGACTTAGGAACACTGGTGGTTGGTGCTAAAAGCAGGAGTGTTAGGGCAGCCTGTCAGCAGTGGCAAAGCCCCGCACACCGAACAATGCTCGTCCGTGGAGAGTAACAACTGAGGCATAAAGGAGGACACTAGTTCTTAAAAGACTCAGTGAAGCTCTATCAGCAGGGTTGATGAGGTTTCCCCATTGTGTGGGTGAGTTAGTAAAGGAGAGTCAGAAAAGAGGTTCATTGCCTTAAAATTTAGTAGAATGCATTTTAACCATCTTTTGATATTTTTGTTTTAAACAGGGTCTCACTATGTAGTTCAGGCTGGTCTTAATTCACTGTGTAGTGTAGGCTGGCCTCAAATTCCCAGTGATCTTCCTGCCTCGGCCTCCAGAGTGTTGGCATTACAGGAATGGACCATTGTGCCTGACTCCATTTTAACCATTTTAAATGTGTAGTCCATACACTAAATACATTCATGTTATAAAATCATAATTTGTGCTGTGAAGTTTCAGTTATGATAAAAACACATACAATTGGGGATTTGACTCAGTGGCATAAGTGCCTGCCTGGCAAGTGTAAGATTGTGAGTTTGATTCCCAGTATAAAAAAAAAAAAATATATATATATATATATATATATATATATATATATATGTAATTTCTATCTTAACTGTTTTTAGTATGCCATTTAGTAGTGTTAAGTTTATATTCTTGTTCAACAGATCTCCAGGACATTTTCATTTTGCAAATCTAAAACTCTATACTGTTGGGGATTTTGCTCAGCAGCATAAGCGCCTGCCTAGCAAGCATGAGGTTGTGAGTTTGATCCCCACTACCAAATAAGTAAATAAATAAAATAAAAATTTGAACAACTCTATACCCATTAAATGACTCATTTTTCCTTCCCTCCAGTTCCTGGCAATCATCACTCCAGTCTGTGTTTGCATGAATTTAATTAAGATACAGTGGAAGATACCTCTGGATAAATGGAATCATATTTTTGTTTGGATAATGGCTTTTTTTTTCCTGTCTTTTTCATTTTTATCGGTACCAGGGATCGAATTCACGACTGCCTGCTTGCAAGGCAGGTGCTTATGCTGCTGAGCTAAATCCCCATCCCTGATAATGGCTTATTTCACTTAGGACAAAGTCCTCCAAGTTCCTTCATGTTACAGCATACGTAATACAGGACTCCTATCAAAAACTGAATAATACTCTATTATATATTTTTTACACACACTCTTCATGCATTTCATGATGAGTGGACACCAGGGTTGCCTCCACCTCATAGCTATTGTGAACAAGGTTTCTATAAATGTGAGTGCACAAGTATTGCTTTCCATCCTTTGGGGTGTAGATTCATATGTGGGATCCTGGGTTACATGACAATTCTATTTTCAATTCTGTGAGGAACCGTGACATTGCCTTCTATAGCACCTCACAGCCCCACTTGCAGTGTACAAGCCACCAACCTCTCTGCATTCTTGCTAACACCAGCTGTTTCTCTTTTTGAGAACAGCCATCCTATTGGCTGTGTAGTGATATCCTACTGTGACTTTGATTTGCATCTGTCTAATGATTAGCAATGTCCTAATGACTTATGAATAACATGTCTACATAATATGGTCACACAGGTTTATGGAGAAAATAGAGAAAGGATACATCAGACTTGCATGTGGACTTCACTGTGAAGGTGGGGCTAAAGTGAGAAAGAGGTTGAAAAGAAAATTGGGACACCATGGAAAAGGAGAATAAATGGACTAGTGCAAAGTAAATAAATATGTAAAGTACGGACATTCGTACATTTATGTACAAGCAAATGTGTATTTGTGCATTAAAAAGTAAATAAAAGTATGTGTCTATGGTCTGCAGCTCAAAAACCACAAAATTGAGACGGAAAAGACAGTCAAAACAGGAGATTTGAAGGTGTCGTGGATAAGCTGGTTTTCAGAGGCATGTGTGCTCATCAGAAACCGTCCCTGATTGATTGGATGGGGTTTAGTCCTGATTTGGTGATTACTTGTTCATGGCTGATGCCCTGGTTAAAGAATTACCAATCTTTTCTTTCCGTGAATTTGGAGATTAAGAGCTTTTGTGCTCATATTGCTGCCTTCCTGTCTTTGTGTGGGCCTATCTTTTCTTTTTCTCTAAAGATTTCTCTGGCATTTCTCACAATGGTGGGTCTATTGGATGACTTCTCTTAGTTTTATTTTCCTTTTTATTTAAAAGTTATTTTATTTATGCATATGACTCTAATTTGGCAGCAGTTTTCTTTCCGTGCTTTATCTAATTGGCTACTAAGTATCTACTGAATTCCTAATTTCAATTATTGTATTTCTTAGTCCTAGATTTTATCAACTTTTAGAATTTTAGCTGTTTGCCAACATTTTCCATCATGTAATTTGGTGGCTTCTTTTTTATTGCTGTGAAGGATTGAACTGAGGGCTCCATGCATAAGTGTTCTATCACTGAACCATAACTTCAAAGTTTTGTTGCAATTTAAGTACATGTCTGATACTTGGATAATATGTGGTTTTCCTACAGGACTTTTTTATTGTCTGTGTTTTGTTATGGTTTTGAGCCAATTCTTTTTGCATGCCTTTTCTTCATTGAATGATAGACATTCTATGCGAAAAGCTCTAGACTTAATTTGAGATTCTAGATGATATATTCCACAAGAATAACTTTTTAAACTTTTTCTTCAGGCAAGTCTCTTAGGATAGTGGCAGAATAACAGCTTAATTCAAGCAGGAATGGAGAGGCTTCATGCTTAGTGAGGGCCACTTCTCCTATTCTCCCCTTATCCTTAAGGTATAGTGAATTTCAGGAATTCAGAGTCCTTGTACAAGCCTGGGGTGTTTACCAGGGTCTCTGTTCCTCAGCAGATTCTGAACTTCAGTTTTATCCACCTCTTGCCATAATTCCCTACCTTCCCATGAGAGATATTGGAAATCCTTCTTCCTAAACCTATTAAAGCCATTAAAAATCCACTAAAGCACTTTTATTCACTATGTCATGTATTCTTTATGAATCATTCGTATTAAAGAGTTCCAGGCAATCCTTATCTGCTGATGATCATTGTTCAGTGTAAAACTACTCTGAATGGAAAAACACAATTATAATTTTGCACAGTAATACAGTTTTAGATAAAATGATGATTCATATCCATAAGCTTATATAGTAAAAAATGAGGTAGCAATGGTTTAAAATGGATGAAGTCAAATTATTAATGGTAGTGAAATTAACAGGTCATTTTGAATATTCCTAAAAGATCAAGTTTACTAATGAATATCATGAAAATATTTTCATTAAAGGTAAGAAAAATAGTTGATTTTGAAATTATACTTTAAAACTCTAAGAAGAGAGCATTTTAATTTATTTTGAAAATGAGATGAGACAAACAGAGGGTATATTTTCTGGGCTCTAACTGTGAATCAGTCTACTATATCAACATTAGGATCTAAACTCAGTCTTTGTTATAGACTAAAAACTGTAAAATTTATGAAAGTTGACCAATAACTTCAAATAACTAGGGGTTTTTTGGTGCCGGGAATTGAACTTAGGACCTTGAGTTGCCAGGAAGGCACCTGTGCCGCTCAGCTACATATCTTAATAACCACATTTATTCTAATTTTCATTATTATTTATCCTATAATCATTTAGAAGCTGTTTATCATTACCTTTATAGAATAGTTTATTAAATCAGTGCCATTTACTGAAAACTATAACGATGGTTTCTGGGTATAATACATTATACATTTGATTCTCAGCTGAGAAAATAAGAAATTTGGAATGTAAACTTATCAAAGAACTAGTCCACTAGTCCTTGAAAAACACAAATTGCACAGCATTTTCTTATGAGACATGTATTTAAGAACTATTCATTTCAAGGTTATTGGCTAGGCAAGCTATAGAATAGTACAAGGTTAAACAAACGTAAGTCATTGCCCAGTTGGATAACTTAGGGTTACAGAATTAATCTAATAAATATTCCTAATACCTTTCTCATTTTCCTAGGTGTGTCTAAAATTATTGCAAATTTGGTTAGTTTCTTTGATTTCTGTTCTTTCACGTTGGAAAATGTCCTGGAACATTCTGAAAATTTTCTTGAACAATGGGATGAAGTTAATGAAAAAATCAGTAAAATGAAGTCTCAAATAGATTCACTGCTCAATATTATAGGAACTGTTTCACAGTCGACAGACATGGATTCTGGCGCGTAAGTTCCCATCGCTGTCTTTTTTCATGTGAGAATGTATTTTAAAGTTTTATTGCAAGAAAATTTACGCACCATCCAATTTATTCTTTTAAAGTATACAAGCCAGTGGTTATCAGTGTATTTTAAAATGTTATATCACTGCAGTCAATATTAAAATATATCACCTTCAAAAGAAGTTTTATAGCCAGGGGTGGTGTCGCATACCAAGTGTTAGGGAGTGTCTCTGAGGCAGGAGCATGGCAAGTTTGATGCTAGCTTGGAGAGCAGAGCAAGACCTTGTCTCAAAAACAAAGCAAAACAAAACAAAACATAGCAGGGGCAGAGGATGTAGTTCAGTGTCCCCTGGGGTCATTCCCCAGGACCTCAAAAAGGAAGGGGTTGGGGGAGAGAGGAATAGAAATAGTTGAAGGAAGAGGAGGAACAAGAAGAAAAAAGATTTGTATGTATTAATATTACCTTACACATTAGTAATACTTTTGATACTGTTGCAAAACACCAGGAAGTAGATGGATTATAGATGAGAGAACATATTTGGCTCACATTTTGGAGGTGGAAAGTCTAAATGACATAGTGTCCTCTGGCCAGGGCTCATCGTGATACGGGAATACAACAATCAAGAGGCAGAGATCATATAGCAAGGCAGGAAAGCAGATGGTTCGCTCTCCCTGTTTTGTTCTACTTTATAATTTTATTTTTTTAGTATATGTTTGCATTACATGATTAAATTCATTGTAAAGACTTGATATATAGGTATCATACAGATTAAATGTTTTTTTCTCCCCTTCCTCCCTTCCCTCCCCAGTCCTTTTATCTCCTAGTCTCCTCTTTTGTGAAAAAAAATCAACCTCCCTGTTTCGTATGACCTATCTTTTATTTTACTCTTTATTTCTACTTTGGTTTACTCATACAAGAGAAACCATGTAATACTTAAGCTTGTGTGTTTGATTTATCTCTCTTAATAGTATGATCTCAAAGTACATCCATTTTGTTACAAATGACTCAAGTTTATTTTTCTTTATGGCAAAGTAGTACTCCATTGTGTGTATTTACCAATTTTTTTGATCCACTTACCTTTATAGATATATAAGATGCTTTCAAGATTAGACTATTAAGAATTAGGCTGCTATAAACATGGGTACACCTGTATCACTGTAATATGATGATGACTTTAGCTCTTTTGGGAATATAGCTAAAAGAAGAGTAACTGGGGCAAATGGAATTTCTATTTTTAGTTTTTTGAGGAACCTCCATACTGACTTCTGCAATGGTTGTATGAGTTTACTTGTACTAGTTTACTTCTTAACAGTGTAGAAGGGTTCTCTTTTCCTCGTATCCTTTTGTTTGATTTTTTTCATGATTTGTTGCATTCTGTTTGCCAGTATCTTAATGAGGATTTTTTGTATCTACTATATGTTCTTTTAAGAGATAGATCTATAATTCTGTTTTTTAGTTGATCCTTGTCTGGTTTTGTAAGCAGGGTAATGCTAATTTCTAGGAATGACTTTGTGAATACATTTTCTCTTTCAATTTCATTTAAAAAGTTGAGAAGTATTGGTGTTAGATCTTCCTTGATATACTTACAGAATTCAGCAGTGAATCTGCTGAGTCCTGGGCTTTTCTTAGTTGATTGGATTTTTTTTATTACAGCTTCAATTTCATTGCCTGTACTGGGTTATACGCAGTATTTTATGTTCTTGGTTCGATTTGGGGAATCCATATGATCTATTAATTTCTTGAGGATTCTCCAAGTCATTGGTGTACAGATTTTCAAGGCAGTTACTAATAATCATCTTCATTTTAGCAATGCCCTTTGTGATTTCTCTTTTCTTTCTAATTGTTTAATATGCATCTTTCTTTCCTTTTATTGATAAAATTGACTAGGGAGTTTGTCTGTTTTGTTTATTCTTTCAAAGAACCAATTCTGATTTTCACTGAACCTTTGTACTATTTTAGTCTCAATTTAATTAATTTCTGCTCTGATATTTATAATTCCTTCTTACACTGCTTTGGATTTGTATTGCTCTTGTTTTTTTAGGACTTTGAGGTGTACCTGTAGGTTATAAATGTGGGCTGGCTTTATTTTTCTGATGTAGAGTATTTGCAGCTATAAATTTCCCCCTTAAGACTGATTTCATTATATTTCATAGGTTTTGTTATATTTTACTGGCATTATTGTTTGATTCTAGGAACTAATTTCTTCCATGATCCACGGTTATTTAGTAGTGTATTGTTTAGTGTCTATGTGTTTGCAAAAATTCTGTGGCTTCTTTTGCCTTTGACTTTTCATTTCACTGCACTGTGATCTAATAATATGCACAGGTTAGTTTGATTCTTTGTTATTTATTTAAACATACTTTGTGGGTTAGAGAGTTGTCTATTCTAGAGAAAATGCCATGTGTTGCTGTGAAGTATGTGTATTCTGTTGTGGTGATATGGAGCACTCTATAGACATATATCATGTCCATTTGTTCAAAATGTGGTTCACCTCTGTTATTTCTTTGTTGACTTTTTTGTCTGTTTGATCTATTTGTGATAGTGGGGTATTGAGGTCCTGTACTATATTATGTTGATGTCTAGCTGGTCTTTATTTTCAGTAGTGTTTGTTTTATGAAGTTGGATGTGCCACTTTTTGCTCACGTATATTTTTAAAATGTTATCTCTTTTTGTTGAATTATTCCCTAAACCAATATGTAGTGATCTTCTTTGCCTCTTTGGATTAATTTTGATTTGAGATCCACTTTATCTGAAAATAGTATAACTGTTCCTGCTTGTTTTATGGCTCTCTCTGCATGGAATATTGTTCTCTATCATTTGATTTTTAATCTATGAATTTCTTTTTATATTAGTCTTTTTCTTGTGTACACTGTGCCATGGGATTTTTCTAGGAGTAGGAAGAACTTATTAAGAGAAAGAAAAACTTACATCTAAGAGAGACAGGAAGGGACCCAGAAAGTGGTTCACCCACCTACCTCAGTTCTTAAGAATTTTTTATTGAGTGAAGCCATGAGGTGAGGCAGGTTCAGTTTGGGACAGAACTATAATCAATTAGACTACAAGTATTGTTACTTAGGTAGTATTGATGCAACAGAAAATCATAGGATGGGTGGGAGGTGGCACAAAACTATAATCAACCAATAAGATTATAACAAATATAGTCACTTGAATAGTACTGATTAAATGGGAATTAAATTGGGAAAAAAGCCATGTTGCAAGAGCACATGGGATGCACAAGAATTTTCCTGGAAGAGGTGGGTTAAGGAGGTTTCAGTCTTCCACCCTATTTAGAATATCAATCACTGCTTGTCATCCCTAAGAGAAGTAGATGGATGTAATCATTCCTTTTTTTCTTGAAGTCTGGCCTTCAGTGAATGTGCCTTCAACCACAGTTATCTTTTGTACAGACTTTTGCAGGGCCCAACCTGCCTGCCTACAGTATTTATAAATAACAGCTGCCTATAATATTCACCCTTCTGAAGAAATAACCCTAACTATGGTTATAGGAGATTGGGTGTAGTTTCTGTGTGGCTACTTTGAGTTGAGAAGGGTTGGTGTAGAGATGACTGCAATCAGGAGCTTTCTCCAAAGAGCTAATCTAATGCACCTCAGATAGAAGTCATGTTCTGGCTTAGTAGTTATGAATTCTCTTTATAAGGTCAGCCTGATGGATCCCAATAAAAGGAGTCTGGCACATTTGTCATTAGTTCTGTCTGCATGATGACTTGGAGTTTGGCAGCCTCAAAGTTGTAGGACCTCATTGAAAGGTTCCTTCCTTTCCTGGGTCCCCATTGACATTGAAGGGTAAGGGTCAAAATATTGACTGTCCTCTTAGCCTAGTTTATTTTTCTAGCTGTTGAACACCTAGAAGAGCGGATCAGTGAAATTAGTATTACAATTGGGACAGTGAGTTTAACTATTATAATTTCATCTGGTTATCAAGCACTTTGAATTATAAAATATAGCCAGAGTTCTGTTATTTCTTATCAACCATGGTTGTTTTTAGTAGTTAAATCTCTGCAGAATGTTAGCAAATAACAGTTATATAGTTTTACAGAGAAAAAAAGCCACACATAGTATTTCAGTATGCCAATCATGATAATATATATTCATTTTAGGATAGAATAGCCCTTTTAGTTAAACATCTATGTCTATCACAAGACATTAAGTGACACAAAGGAACTCTCATCTAACTTTTTTGTCCTTTAATAGGATGTCATCTAAGGAGAATTTTCCATCCTATAAATGTACTAGAAATTTATAATGTCTATCCTCCAGTTTAGTGTGTAACATTGTTTAGACTGTTTGGTGTAGATATAAATATAATATACACATTACATAAATTTTTTAAAAACTTATCACTTGTCTGGTGCTTTCATGTTGGCTTGACATGTATCTTTTCATCATAAGTAGCTGGAGCACAAGAAAAAGGCAGATACCTAGGTCTAAAAAAGTTGTTAACATAAGCAATCTTGGTTTTATATCTTAGAAAACCTGTATACCCAGAAGGCTACGAATACATTTAGTACACCATAAAATTAGTAACAGCATCACAGCTATATGAACCCTTTTGTCCTTTAATTTAGTTTTGTACCAATAGCATTTTTTAATGAAACCTTATTGTTTTTCCCATAGAAAACTTAACCTTTTGATGATGGCCAATGTAAACGTATCACAAGAATATGGTTAGAAATGTTTACTGGGATGTGTCTCCCATAAGAGTATGGAAATTATCGGGGTCCCATTAATGAAAAAAGACTGAAAGATAATATTTCCAGACAGCTGCTTCTTTATTCACCAAGGGGAGTCCTGTCCAGCAGTTTCCCTGAGCCTGAGGGGCCCCCATTGAATAACAAATTCTTGATGACCTATAGAACCAAATCATAACAGTTAACATATTATTCTTAACCAATGAGAGTTTCGAGTTATTGTATACAGATGATGATATGTATTTGTAAAACCTATCTTGACATCATTTTGATTGACTGGCAACCTGGGTAGAAGCATGTCCTTAATGCTAATGATATCTATAAGCCCACTTAAGTTATAGACAAATATTTTAAAAATCCAAAAAGACAACAAGAATAAAAAATTGATGTGCTCAAACAAAAACAGCTGTAAGCATTGTGACCAGTCACAAGTGGGACAGACAGACACACATACATGCCTAAGACCACTGTTAATACTGACCAGAGTGCACTCAGGTGTATTTGGCCAAGTTGAATTATAATAACTTTTATAGTTTTTAAGCTTGTAACTATAAATAGTCAGAATTTTTATGTCAGTTAGCAGAGACCCTTTATAATAAGAATCAGATGGAATAATACCTTTTTACACTTGTGAAAGCAAGGACAATTTTTAAGATGAGTCCTAGGCTGATGGTTTATCTGAGTAGAATATCTTGCTACATAGGCTTTTCATTATTATCTTGTTAGCCATAGTTGGATAGTCAGGGCTGACAGCCAAACATGCTATTTTGATAACTACATGTAACTTTCTTCTAAATGGACAGACTGCTAAATGTAATTTTAACTATTTGGGGAGAGGGGTGTGCCCAGGCCAGGTTTGAGTGTAGAAAAAGACTACTTTGGAGCTAAGTGTGAATTTAAAACAGTGGGAGAAGGCCTCCCAAGGCTTCGTCCTGCTGTGCTGCAGACATCTTACCCGTGACAATCATTCCCATTTTGGCTGTGACCCCTGGATCACGGTTAGCCATAGGCCTTCCTTATTAGAGCTTCAGTTAGAATGTTGCTGAGAATTGTGGCTACTCTGTGGCAAGATGTTTAGAGAGCAATCACAAGAGGCTGTCCTTTGGAGACTGGAGCTGTGCCTGTTTTTTTTTTTTTTTTAAATATTTTTTTCTCATTTAAAACTATTACTAAACTCATTTGTAGGAGTGTTTGTTATAAAAGGCAGTCAGGTCTGCCCTGTACTATAAAAAAAGTCAGCATCATTCTTGAGGAGAGAGAAGTTAATCTCCAGTTCTGCCTAAGGACTAAAAGGCAGGTAAACTTGGACTAAAACTCATACATTTACTTTTTGAAGGCTTTAGGATTAAATACACACCAGTTTTTGAATATGACCCAGAGATAAGTGAAGGTCAGTTTTACTATGGAAGGATGGGGGGCGGGGGGTGACTCACCATTCAGGTAAGTTGTCCTGAATTGCTTTGGACTAAACACTTGTAAACTGCACGGTATTTTTCAGGGACAGGGCAGTGGAGAAGGGACAGAGAGTGACTCCAAGTATGGCAGCTGACTTGTGTTTCTTGATCCAATCTGCCAGTTTGAGTCTTTTGATTGGGGAATCAAAATCATTGACATTGAGAGTTGCTGGTAAATGGGAAGCAAACGACCCCTGAGCTCTGAGCGGCTGGCTGCAGTGCGGGAGGTTGGACTTAATGCAGCCCTTCCAGAGCCAGCTCCTCTGAAAGCCAAACTGGCTTTGCACGGAAGAAGGTGGGGCCCTTGTATCCTTCCCATCTTTAGCTTAAACTTCTCAGGGGCATCTCTGTTTAGCCTGTGGCCTCTCTGAGACCATAACTATGTCCATCACCAGCCTAGTCAGTGACGCCAGAAGTCATGAAAACTAGCTGTTTTATAATTGTTCTGTAGTTCAGCCTTTTGCCTTGTGGCTCGGTCAGAGGCCAGCCTTGCTCTTTCATGACAACTGTCTCTTGTGGAATTCAATGGAATCTTGCAAGAACTATACTAATCCTCCAGAGTAAGGCATGGCCCCAATGACCTACTTATCTTCTATTAAGTCTCACATTTTAAAGGTCCTGCTAGTTCTTAACATCACCACTTTGGAGAAGAAGCTTCCAATGCATTAACCTTTAGGAGACCCACTCAACCTTACCTTATCTAGACCAAAACAGTATTTCCTTATAATGTTCCTTCTGGAAGATTGTTACTAATGTCCTCTCTTTGATTTCTGAATCTAGTAATCTGAGCCTTATCTCTATTTTTCATAGTCAGTCTAGCTAAATATTTGCTCTTTTCAAAGAACTATCTTTATTTTCTGTAGTATTTATGTCTTTTCTCTAGCATTTTTCTAGTCTCTATAGTGTTACTTTCTATCCTAGTCATTATAACTTGTTTCTTTTTGCTTTCCTTAGATTTGTTTTACTAAATCATTTCCATAATTGTTAGGTTGCAGATCTCGCTTTTCCTCTTCCCCTTTTCCTCCTCTCCCTCCTTTTTTTCCATCTCTTCTTCCTTTTCCTCTTCCTCTTTTCTTTTCTTTTTTCTCCTCCTCTTCCTCATCTTTTTCATTCTCTTTTTTCTATCTCCTCACCTTTCTCTTCCTTTTTGGTTTTCGAAACAGGGTCTTGCTAAATAGTCCAGGCTGGTCTTGAAATTGCTATGTAACCTAGACTGGCCTTGAACTTGCAATCCTCCTGCTTCAACCTCCAGACTGCTGAGATTACCAGCACCACCATCACTGACTTTCTCAGTATGGGCATATGTAACTGTTAATTTCCCTCCAAGGACTGTTTTAATTGCATCCTATGTGTTTTGTTGTGCTGTGTTATTTTCACTTACTTTGAAGTGTTTTATGATTTAATTTGTGAGAAGATATTGACCCACTTATTATTTCACTGTCAATTGCTTAATTTTCACATATTTATGAGTTTTCCATTTTTTCCCAATTCCTGATTTGCAATTTAATTCCATTGTGGTGTGGGTACCTATTTTGTATTATTATAGCCTTTAAATTCATTGATATTTGTTTTTTGTCCTGGTTTTTTTGTTTTGTTTTTGAGACAGGGTCTTGCTACATGGTTTAGCCTGGTCTTGACCTCACTTTGTAGCCCAGTCTGGTCTCAAACTTGCAATGATCCTCTTGCCTCAGCCTTCTAAGTACTGTGATTACAGGCATGAGCCACCATGTCTGGCTTCTGGCCTGGCATCTGTATCCTGGAAAAACTTAGCATTTTACTCATATGTATTTATTTGTGGATATTTTTGTATTTATCCTACTTGCCTGGAGATTGCTAGGATTTCTAGAGTGTTAATTACTGTTTTTCAATATATTTGGGAAGTTTTTTTTTTTTTTTTGACTTTGTTTCTTTCTCAATTTGAGAGGATTTAAATAGTTTGTTTTTAAAAAGATTTTTTTCTAGTTTTACTGAGGAGTGGGCCAACTTTGTTCCTCACGTGTGGGAAGATAATTTTAAAATTCATTCTTATTACATGTGAAGATCGTACTGGCTGGTGCATAGATATAAGGAATATAGATTTTTATAGTAGAGGGGTGATGGTGAGGGTGAGATCTCCATTGTCTAAAGGCTGGTGTGCCAGTTACTATTTACCGACGCATTAGGAACACTGTGTTCATGACGAAGTTATCATACCAAACAGTTATTTTGATTCACATTTCCCCAAAGTTTTAAACAATCATGAATACATTTTCTGTGCCCAAATAGAACCGTTTCCCTTAGCTGATAGTTACTTGTATATTCTAAGTTTCTTATCTTTATTTTTCCTGACTTTTCTTCTAGGATACTCCAAGAGCATATATTTAACATGATTCGACAATGGCTTTTGAACATAGGCAATGAAATTAACAACAGTCACATGGAACTTCAGCACCGCGTATGTACTTTCGAGGCTTTGTGAGGTTACAGTTTTGCCTTGGTTGGTGATTTTCCTTATATGCCTTTCATATACTTTTATTTTAATGCTGCATAATTGTAACAAAATTAGTGTGGATAGGAAATTTGAAAGATTTTGAACTCCTGGCGGCCTTGTATGCATGCTTTGTCAGCCCGCCAACCATCTTCTTTCTATCCCTTTTCCTGTCCTGTTGTTTTCTCCTTGACCACTTACTCCACTGAGTCGGTGCTGCCTGGCTGTTTTAAATAGTGGCCTCTAAATCTTTTTTAAATCATACATATATAAATGTAGATGAACATATAGATAGAGACATACATCCAAATATAGAGCAGAGAGTGCTTGTTTGTGTGGTGCTAGATGTTGAGCCCAAGGACATCACATACGCCAAGGAAGTCCTCTACCGCTGGTCCACCATCCCAGGCCTCATTTATATTTTGAAGGAAAGAGTTAAGTGTGCTTTTTAAAAATAGCAGGTAGAAAGTGGCTAACTATCAGTCACTTAATAGCAGAATTATGATCAACCTGTTTTAGTATAAAATAATCATTTTCACTTCTATCTTATTAAAAAGTGATTCTATATGTTTTTGCAAGTAAAGGATATTCTTGTGTTTAATTTGATTTCAATTTTTTAAAATTAATTCAGTTTATTGGTGCATTTTAGGTATACATAATAATCACATTCCTCACAGGGAATTTGTTCCTGTGCGTGACAGGACATGATTACTGTTTATCCCATTTCCGGCCCTCCCTTCAGCATCGCCTCCTCTTATTTACAAAAGCCTTTGCATTATTTCCCTTCTCTTCTCATTTTTCTTTCCCCTTCCTTCCTTCCCCCTTTCCCCATCCCAACATCCCATTTGAACATTTTCTTCCTATTTCACAGTATCTGTTATACCTCTTGGTCCTTATTTGCACTTTTGGTTTCTCACACCAGAGAAACAAGGTGATATTTATGGCAAGGTCATACTCCATTGTATAAAAAAATCACATCTTCTTTGTCCGTTCATCACTTGATAGGCATTTGGGCTGTTTCAAAGATTTAGATATTGCAAACTGTGCTGCTGTAAACATGGATGTGCATGTATCGCTGTGGTGTGATGAGGGAGGAAGGAGGGAAAAGAAAAAAGCTCATAGAGGGATAAAATGGGAATAAAACTTTTTAAATAAGAAAGGAAAGCGGGGTTTAAAGGAGGGAAGAGGACTGGAGAAAAAAAGAGAAATCAGGATACATACAGTACAAATTCTCTATGATGAATATGATCATTATGTATATTTAAATTTTACCAATAAATTTTTAAAAACAAAAAACTCACAAGTATATTAAGTAGGTTAAAAAATTTACTAAATACTTAATGTCTTAAGTTATCAGAACAGTAATGGAATGCATATCCTTATTGGGTACTACACAACTTCTTTTTTTTTTTTTTTTTTTTTTTTTGTCTTTTTCATTTTTATCGGTACCAGGGATCAAACTCATGACCGACCGCTTGCAAGGCAAGTACTAATGCCACAGAGCTACATCCCCAGCCCCCTACTACACGACTTCTTTAAGCTTGGAATCAAATTTGACATTGCTATCTCTCCTGGTCCACACTGACTTTCACATAGTATTTGTTTTTATCCAACCAATCAAACAAACAAGCTTCAAAAAGATACAATGGCATCAAAAATGGTGTAGTGTATCTGGTGTTGAAACTATGTTAAATTCATTCTATTTTCAGCAGATGTCACATCTCACTGGTTTTTGTTTGTTTTGTTTTGCCATTTTAGAATGCCCTAACATCCTTGTGAGTTCTCTGCAGAGTGCTAGGATATTTTGGAGCACAGTTTTGGAACTGTAGCTTTGATGAGTTAATACCCTTGGCCAACCTAAAGAAGACAGTAATTTAATGTAGAATTGTAAGCAAAAGAAAATTGTTATACAGCATAAGAGTGATTATTTGATTTCTGTAAGAATTATAGAGTTGTTGAAAGTTGGATACTGGTATGATTGTTTCTATCTTCGAATCTGGTATTATCTTACTGTTGTATTTTAAAGAGTCGTTTATGCTATAATCATTTTTTAACAGGTGGATGAGTTGCATATATCTATGATCCAGTGGATGGTAAATTTGCTAATTATAATGATTCCTGACTATACTGACCATTACACTCTCCCAAAGTTGGAGGAGAAAGACACTGAGAAACATGACATGGCAACTTCACAGTTAGAACTGGATGCAATTGTACTGGCAAAAAAGTTGTCCCAATATACCACCTATTTGAGCAGGTGAAGCTCTCTGGTTATTTTCTTGCTGGGTATTTGAAGATTAAATGTAACATAAGTCAAAGAGGACAGTGAAATAGCAACAGAGGGGTTATTTTAAAACCTTGAAATAAACAGTGGCTCAGTTTCTTACCTAGCTTGAACACTGTAGTCAGTAGGAATATGAGATTTTAATATTCTCTCAATAGCTTTAGAATTCTTTTTGAAACTGTATAACATACGAAGGATGGAAAATGCATGTATGTGGGATAACAGTTTTGTTTTTTAAAGACTGTAAGTCTTGATAAGTATAAGTAAGATATATTTTACACCTTTTCATCTACTAGGAGATATCTGAGAAACTTGTAGTTTCCTGTAGAATTCCAATCAGAGCTGCTAAATGCCAACCAAAATATTTTTTTAAGAAAAAGAAAGTTGGAAGACTCGTATCAATCTGATACTAGGCCTGAAAAATTGTTACATATTAATTAAGATACAAATTATCACAGCAGTTACTTCAAATTTGAGAAGTGGCTTTTTACAGTCTATCTAAATTTTTATTTCATTTTTTCAATTTGCTTTTACCAGTGGTCAAAGATAAGAGGAATGGAGGAGGAAGAGGACAGGGTGAGAACTTCAGAAAGGGATAACTTTTCTTCATGATGAGGCAGTAGCTGACTTATAATAGTAAATTCCCACTGTATCTGAATTTTAAACATTTAGAGAAACCACCAATTAAAAAAATCATTCTAGATATCCTCATTAACTTCTGGTTACTATGGTTACATATCTGAGATAGCTAACTTGTCAAGAGAAAGGCACATTTCAGCTCACAGTTTTGGAGGTGTCTATCCACGATCAATGGGCCTGGTGCTTTGGGGCCTGTGGTAAAGCAGCACATGATTCCCAAGGCTGCGTGGCGCAACAAAACCAGTCACTGCATGGGGGGGGGGGGGAGAGACTGGGGCTCCCCATTCGCCTTACAAGGACACGTCACCAATGACCTGAGGTCTCACTTCCTGAAGGTTCCACCACCTCCGAACTTGGGGACTAAACCTTCAACACATGGGCCTTGGGGGTAGCTCATCCAAACCGTACCACTGAGTATGTGCCTTCTTCCTTTCTCTTTTTCTTTCTTTCTTTCTTTCTCCTCAGTTGTTGCAAAGGGATGGTAACAGCAATTGCTCTGAGTAGAGCAGCTCATTTCAAAAGAAATCCTGCTAAGGAACTTCGGGACCTGGATAAGATGAAGGTAATAACTTTTTTTCTTCCAGTAGTTTTGTTTTAGCACATTCTTTGAGATATGATTGAAATGAAATGCACATGAAAAATACAATAAAAGTACTAGGTACAATAGAAACACTAAAATATGCATACACTGGTAAAAACAATCACTAAAAGGGCAACATTGATATATACAACACACCGGAAGTTGGTAAATCTCTATCATCTCTCCTATTAACCTCGTCTTGTTCCTATGGAGTATCTGATCCAGTTTCTAATACCCAAGATTATTTTTCACTTTCTAGAACATATAGAAATGAATTAATGTACAGTGTGTCTGTTTTAGTCTGACTGTTTGGCGAGGAATTCTTTTGAGATTCACATATATTGTTGCTTTTATCAAAAGTGTGTGATTTTTAGTGCTGAATAGTATTTTATTATATCTATTAATGAAATTTGAAGTGTTTCTAGTTTTTTATTATTACAAGAAAGTCCTCAATGCATATTTAGGCCCATATTCAAAAACATTTTTGTTTTGTGTTTATTTTTTTGAGACAGGGTCTTGCTATGTAGTTCAGGCTATCCTTGAACTCACTGTGTAGCCAAGACTGGCCTTGAACATATGATGATCCTCCTTCCTCAGCCTTCCAGATTCTGGGAATAAAGGCATGTGCCACTACATCCGCATGTACATATTTTGAATGGACATTTACTTCCACATTCCCTTAAGAGATATGACTTTGCTTTGTTTTTTTTTGGAGACAGAGTCCCACTACGTAGTTGAGGCTGAGTGAATGCACTATGTAGTCCGGGCAGGCCTTGAATCCTCCTGTCTCAGCCTCCCATGTGCTGGGATAACAGTCGTGCACCACCATTCCTGGCTAAGAGATGTGACTTTGAAAGATAGGAAGTTCTTAATTTTGATGAAGTTCAATTTCTAATGGATTTTCAATTAGTGCATATTAATTTTACAAACTGTGGTAGTGGGCTTTGTTTCAGTGTATTTGTACATGCATATAATATACTCGGACCACCATGCTCCCATTATCTTCTTGTCCCTTATCATTCCCTTCTTCTTCTCTAACAGTCTCCTTTTTATTTTCATGTTGTCTCTTTGCCTCTTCTTCTTCTCCCTCCTCCTCCTCCCTCTTCTTCAGATTCCTCATGAGAGAAAACATGCCATGTTTGTCTTTCTGAGTCTGGCTTATTTCTCTGAACAGTATGAGCTCCACTTCCATCCACTTTCCTGCAGATGACATTATTTCCTTCTTTTTTAATGGTTAAAAAAATACAACTGTTATTAATTGAAAACTGGTGGTCAACTTAACACCAGCTGAATTAAATCAGCATGGTGCTGCGCATAGATGTTCCACCTGAGGAAAGTTGCCAGCATAAATAGAGGCGTGGAGAAGAAGAGCTAGGGGTTGTGGGTTCCTCTAAGTGTTGCTCTTTGAGCCGTTGGTGTGAGTTCGACCATTGTCATCAGAGGAGCTTGGGACCTGGTTGGTGAGAGTGACTGTGGTTCACTTTGGAGGAGCTCAGGCCCTCACATCGAGCATCACTTCCTGGCTCCAGAGGGGAAGATGTGTGCCGCTTAATCCCCAGGACAAGCTCCTCATGCTGGCTTCCTGGCATGTGCCCGACTGTGCATGGAGGAGCTCAGGGCCTCCGTGTTGCTGAGGATGGCTATGGTGCTTTCAGGACAGCCCTGGTCTTTGTTGTGAGTGTGACTTCTCGGCTCTCATCCCATCACCACAGCTCCTTCCCTCTACTGGCATAGACTTCCTAGCTTCCACTACTGACCTTTGGGGCCTTCCCGGCACGGATCCATAAAAGAGACTGGGGTGAGTCCTTCTTGTGGGCTCTAGACCTCTAGCTGGATGTGTGAGAGACGTTGTCATGGGCTCTAGGTCTTCATCTGGACTCATGCAGGGCATTGCTGTAGGATCCAGGCCCCTTGGCTCAATATTCTGAGTCTTTAGTGTTTGTGGACAGATTTCCTGCGCTTTCTTGTGTTTCACTCTGGGTGACCGTCATAAAATAATACTATAAATTCTGTGTCATGATCCTAATTGTTCTCCTCACAGCCCCTGACTCCAACACACCGTTGTGTATTCATTTGTTGTTGCCAGGGGCTGACGGTATTCCCATATTAACCATTATGAACTGTGCCACAAAATCGGGTATGCAGGCACCTTCAGTTTTTTCAGGAATATACTGAGAAATTGTGTAGCTGAGTTAAATAATGACTCTACTTACAGTTTTTAAAGAACTTTCATACTGATTTTCATAGTGACTGCACTAATTTATATTTCATTAATAATGTAGAAGTGTCCTTTTCCTGCGTGTACTTGCCAGCATTTATTATTTTTGTGTTCTTAATGATAAAATTCTGACTTGAGAGAGGTAAACCTTTTCGATATACATTTCATTGGTGGCTAAAGAAGTTGAAGTTTTTTTCATATACTTCTTTTAGATGTGTCTTTTGATTTTGTTGGCCCATTTATTTGTTGGGTTACTTGTTCTCTAGTGTTAATTTGGGGTTTTAGTTCTTTTTGTATTCTGGATACTATGTCAGAAGAGTAGCAAGAGTAACAAGAAAATATCTTTTAAAAGATATTTTCATTATGTTCACTGTTTTTAATTTTTTTTTTTAGACAGTTTCACTACGTAGTTCAGGCAGGCCTTGAATTCACACCAGTCCTCCTGCCTCAGCCTCCCAAGTGCTGGGATTACAGGCAGGCATCTTCACATCAGCTATGTTCATTGTTTCTCTGCTGGGCACAAGCATCTTAATTTGATGTGATTCTATTTGTTGGTTCTTGTTATTTCCTGTGCTATTGGAGTTCCAGTAAAGGAGTCTTTGTTCATGACTTGAAGTATTTTTCATATGTTGTCTTCCAGAAGTTTCAGAACTTCAGGCCTCACACTCAGTTCTTTCATTCACTTTGAGTTGATCCAAGGTAAGCAGTTAGAATATAGTTTCAATATTCTACATGTGGATTTCCAGTTTTCTCCGTACTAGTCATTAAAGAGGTTTTTTCTCCAATGTATATTTTTGATCACTTTGGCAAGAATTAGATGAGTAGACCCAAGGATATAGCTCAGCTGTGTATTGCCGGCCCAAGAATTAGATGATGGTAGTTGTGTAGGTTTGTGTCTTTGTCCTCTATTCTATTCCCTGGTCTGTGTTTCTATTTTTTATGCCAGATTCATGCTGTGTTGTGTTGTGTTTTGTTTTTATCATGGCTTGGTAGTGTATTTTGCAGTCAGGTAATATGATAACTCTAGCACTGTTGTTTTTGCTCAGAATTGCTTTGATTATTCTGGACCTTTTGTGCTTCCTTATGAATTTAAGGAGTTCTTTTTTTCCAGTTCTTTGAAGTGTATCATTGGTATTGTGATGGGGATTTCATTGAATCTCTAGATCAGTTTTGGTAGCATGACCATTCTAAGAATGTAAATCTGCCAGTTCATGAACATAAGAAATCTCTTAGTGTCTTTAATTTCTTTCTTCATTGTCTGTAACTATCATCGAGGTCTTTCACCTTCTTGATTAGGCTCATTTCAAGATTTTTTTCTCTTGAAACTATTGTGAATGGGATTGTTTTCTAAATTTCTCAGTGGGGTTATGTTGGTGTACAGAAAAGCTATTGATTTTTGTATGTTAATGGTGTGTGCTACCACTTTGCCAAATTTATTTCTCAGATCGAAAAGTATGTTCATGAAGTTTTTGGTTCTTCTAAGTAAAGAATCATTTCATTTGTCAAGAGGAGTAATCTGCCCTTTTCCTCTCTTACATGCATCCTTTTTATTTTTCTTGACTTATTATATTGCACAGATGGTGCGAGTGAATACCTTTGGTTTCCTCCTGATTTTAGAGGAAATGCTTCCTGTTTTACTTTATACAGATATCATTATATTGAGGCAATATCCTACTGTGCCTGGTTTCTTTAGGATTTGTATTATGAATGAATGTCGAATTTTGTCAAAGGCTGTCTTGAGATTTGTTGAGATAAGCATGTGATTTTTATCTTGCTTCTATTTATGTGGTGTCCATTCCCACCGCTGCCATTCAGTATAATGCTTTTAAGCTTTAGCCAAACTCTAGCCAAATTTTAGGCTAGAGAAAAAATAAAAGGAGCTTAAATGGGGAATAAGAAGTCAAATTATCCCTATTCATATTTGTTGACTGTACATGGAAAACCATCCCTGTATCCCTAAAATAAAGCTAGTTTAATCATGGTATATGATCTTTTTTCTTTGCAATAATTTCATTGAGGAATTTTGTATCTGTGTTTTGGTATCAAGATGATACTGGCACTGAAGAATGAATCTGAAAGCCTTCCTTCACTTTGTATTTCATGAAATAATTTGAAGTTTAGTTTTAGTCTTTACTTAAAGTTCTGGTAAAAATTCAGCAATAAGTTCACATGGTTCTAGACTTTTCTTTCTTGGGAGACTTTTTATTACTGCTTTAGTATCATTGCTTGTTATTGATCTGTTAGGTGTTTTATATCCTCTAGGTTCAATTTCGGTAGGTTGTCTGTGTGTAGAAACCTATGCATTTCTTCTAGATTTTCCAATTTATTGAATGTAAGTTTCAAAAACACTCCTAATGAACTATGGATTTCAGTGGTATTTGTGGAATAGCCCCCTTTTCACTCTTTTTTCTTGTTGGTTATAGATGAACGGTTTTCATTTTGGCAGATTTTATATACACGGATGTACTTTGATCATTTTACTTCTCTACCACCTCTTGGCTCCCCCCTCCCCTAAATTCACATTTTGGGGGAGAATTTCAATGTGTCTGTTTTCTGATAACCATCCCCTATTACCTACCCTTCCTCTCTATTTTCTCCCTGTTTTCTAATAATCATCCCTTTTCTACTTTTTTGTCATCTTTTAAGATTTCACATATTAGGGAGAACATGCAATATTTGCCTCTCTGGGTCTGGCTTATTTTAATTGGCGTGTGCCTCTCTATTAAAGGCCAAGGTGATAAAGGAGACACTGTTGTGGGAGGCC